TGATATAAGAGTTCCTTTTTCCATTTTGGAGCTGGAAGGTGTCATGTTGTTGCCCATTAAATATATGACAGCTGAGGTGAGAAATTCATTATATTGCTATAAAAATCTCTGTGAACACCTCTCTTCCTCACCCACTCCCTCTGTATTGCCAGAATATTAACAGTGAATTTGAGTGATATTAGTTAAACTCTGTTCTTATTTGTTTAAAACCTTAGAAATTGAATCTTAGCAGAAGATGGCACCAAATATGTCCAACAGTAAACTTATGAGAACCAGGAATACAAAAACTGGATATATGACTGTATATCTTTATGTTGCATAAGAAATATTTTATTCATACTAAAAGTTGACAAGCACCAATATATGTCACGATGTATTTTCACTTTCCTTAACACCTCCCAAGGCTTTATTTCAGACACTTTTCAATCTGCACGTTAATGAAGAAAAAAGAATAATGTTGGATTCTTTATAAATTGCAGTGCTAGGGCCATAGAAAGCAATGGACACTAGACCCACGAGAACCAGGATCATGGGGGTAGGAGCTTGGGATGGAAGTCAGGAATGGCAATGGGCCGAACCCCCAAGGAATTAACTAGTGAAACCAATCACTATTTAGTCAAGTTAGAGGGAGAAGCCTTTTAAGCTCATTGCAAAAAAAGTCACGTACTCTAGAAATTGTAAATGACAATATTTATAAGGCCAACAGACCTGCTCAAGTCCTAGTAAATGAGGACTTTGATGCAGAAGTTACTTGCTACAATAATAAGTCTGAATTCAACTCAATTGGAGTCCAAGATGGACATAAACCATTTCCCTCTCAGGTACACTCGACCCCAAGTATGCTTTTCAACATGACTGTACTTTCTAATACATAACATAAGGAAGAGTCCTCACTTCTAAGAGAGTCAGTCTTAATCTAAGCCAACATTTACCAAAGTATGTTCTATAGTTCCAGATTCTCTGTTAAAAAAAGAGTTCCATGATCCAATATATTTAGAAGTCCATACACTGTATGTTACACTATAAGCTACAATGTTGATTTTTTAACCTTAGTGTTTTTGTTCATTTTATTCACGAATTCATTTAGTAAACAAATATTTATTAAATTCATCCTGTGACCCAGTCATTCAGTGCTGGGGACAGGATGAGCGATAAGGTAGATGTCTACAAGTCTACACTCTTAAATCTTAACAGTCTGTGTACAAAGGCAGATAGTAAAACAAGCAATTATGATACAGTGCGTTAAGGCCTGAAATAGGGAGATCCAAGACGCAAAGGGAACATACAGCAAGGCCACCTAACTGGTCTAAAAAGGGTCCAGAGGAGTTTTCTAAGAACTACTGTCTGTGCTAAAAACCTGAAGATCAAGTAGAAGTCACACGGGGAAGGAACTTTCAGCCACAGCAGCAGCAGTAATGATCCCAATAAATAGCTCATTATTTTACTCTTTCTGCTTGCTCTGTATTGTGCTGGATACTATCCCAAGTGTCCTATCCGTCATCCACCTGAGTGGGTTTTATCACTTACCTAAAACCATATGGCTAATAAGTGGCAATACCTAGAATTTGAGTCCTGAATGATCTGACTCCAAAGGTTTTTTTTTCCCCCCACTACTCCACCAACTGCCTTTCAATGCAATTAACTGATTTTTATTAAATGATTTGAATGGTACCTTAAGTTTGCTTTGTTAGTGATTGTCCTCTAATATTCATTAGGTTTCTTTAATAGAATCCCATTTTATATTTTAATAATTGTGATGAAATTTGGCATTTGGGTAGGAGTTTCAGAAGTATATTATAGCACTAAGGTCTGAAGTTCACATTCCAAACAGTATCTTACACGTAGAAGTTACTCAAAACAACACAACTGCAACTTCACATTTTACTTACTACTTTAGGGTAGTTTAAAAAGATAATTTGAAACTCTTTTAAAGAAATATGCTACTCACACTTTTGAAGTAGTTTAATTCTCTGTCTGACATGATCAGGATGGCCATAGGATTTTTTATTTTTAAGATCGAATGTAAGTAAAGGTGAAGATATAAAGTTGATCCCCTTTAAAATGTCTGGACCTACCTATAACCTGCAGCTATAAACACACATTTTGGCAAAAATATTCATAGGCAGTGTGAACTTCTTGTCTCATTGTGTGAGGAGGTGCATAGCATCAAGATAGCGCACTGTTAATTCTTCTGAAGATCCTGATGTTAAGGAGAGTCGGGCAAACAGTAGAGGTAGATTTAAGAAAGTAATCCTAACAGAAATGGTCAAAATGTCATGGCTCCTGGAGTGAGTGAGACAGTCTGGCTTTTGCACCTAGTGATGGCAGATTGAGCCAGAAAGTGTAACTCATAGACTTGCTTTAATTGGTCATGTCAGCATGCCAGTCACCAAAGTTGCCATTAAAATTATTTTTAAATAGTGTAAATTATATATATATATACACACACATAGACACACATTTATACAAATATATATATATTTTTAAATACAAATGTATATATATTTTTAAAATTTCTCCTCTCCACTCTCAGGAGGTAATTTTGAAGAGTGAAATGGTCCCAGGGGAAATTACTGAAAGAAAAAAGAGAAGTAAAGAACCTGGCTAATCTGTAAACTTAGATTAATTCCCAAACCTTTGTAACTTATATTGGCGTTTACAAAATACTTTTGCTGAGTGGAATTTCATTTGTTATTTTTATTGATTTTGGGAAAAGCTGGATGGTGAACTAAAAGAAAAAACAAGAAATGCTCCTGTGTTTTATTCATGATCAAATGTCAGTTTATTTCCTTACTAACTATAAAATGTGTTGGTTTAACTTTAGGGACACCACGGTACAAACTCTCACTCTTCAGCCTTCTGTTAGAGATGGACTTATTGTGTATGAAGACTCGCCTTTGGTTAGTAATACAACTGTATGAATATTCTCAACTGTAGCTTTTTGAATGATAATTATATTTCAGCCATGAGTGGGAGAAATCTCCCACAGATACCAATACGTTTCAGTCTTCACTGGAAAACACTCCTTCATATGTCATTTGGGGAGTGGGTATTTAAATGCAAATTGTTGGGAAAATAACATGTTTTCTTATTCTGTTCTTTCTCCAGAGTGAGAAATTTAGTAAATGATAGAAATCCTCTAATCATTTCTTTTTCATTCTAAAATTTTAAAAAAAGGAAAAGAAAAAAAGAAAGTTTGCTGTTGTTTTCAAATGTACAGGCTTTGAAATTAGATAATATTTCTACAATGTTTTTAAAAATGATGTTAATGAATAAAATATTAGGCCAATGTTTTGGGCTGCTGGGAAGAACATTCCTCAGCTTCTCTCATAAAACCCAAAGAAATCCTGGCCTGCCAGGCATGTCTCTCTGTGTAGATAACTCCCTCTGTGTAAATAGCTCCCCTTTGCAGCAGTGGCAACAAATAAGCCATCGTGAGAACCTCTGTGGTCCAGACTCGGGTGATAGGAATCTTTGAGATCTCCTGCCTGAATTCTCCCAGATTGGACCTGACTTTCTTTGAACAAAGATATGAAGGCTGGAGTTGAGGGTAGAAGCTACATGTTTTCCTTTTCAGTTCTGTTTATTTTTACCCTAAAATTAAAAAGAAAATCCATATTCATTTTTTTAGAATATGGAATAAAATATTTGTGGTAGAAAAAAATCATCTATTTCTTAATCTGTATTTCATGAAAATTATTTCGCAGAACTATGTAATAAAAATTTATGATCTGGTCCATTTTTATGTTATGAGCTATTTCTTACTATATAAGAAAATCTTTCGGTTTACATTTAAATTCAGTGAGTAGCTGCTCCTATCCACTCTTTAAAAGTGTTTTCAAGAGGTTATCCTGGCTTCTACCTTTCTTTTCACAACGTCACCATTTACTCAGCCATCTAAGACCTAGGACTGTTTCTTATTTCTCCTTTCACCTCTTCCCATCTGATTGGCTGCACAGGCTGTGGATTATACCTCTGGAAAACTCTTCAGATCAGTGTAATGCTTTCTATTTCCATTTTCCCCATGCCTCCTTCCCTAAAATCAGGTCTTCACACTTTCTTACCAAATTGTTATGTATGCCCCTTTTAGCCTATCTCTGCGTATCACGGCCAGATTAAATGTACTAAAATGTAGCCCCAAACTCCTTTGTTGTGTGTAAACTCATAAGTCTTTAACTACATTCTGTTACTTAATGAGATAAGCACACATTTCTTGGTCTGGCCATCGAGGTTTTAGTAGTACAGACCTGACCTACCCCTCAGATCCCAGTCTCTCTCTTCTCACATTTAACCTCTGCTTCACAAGATAGACTATATTTGCTCTTCCCTCAATAGGCTGCAGAATTGCTTGAGTCTGACTATTGATTTTTTTTGTCTCAAATACCCATCTCTTCACCATACCTCCTGATCTCTTAAAATTGTACACTCTTAGAGCCATCGCAAATGCAGTGTTCTAACGTCCACTGTCACTTGTGACATCTCACTCCTCTTAACCCCCGTGGCACCTTAATTTCTCTTGTTTTCATTCTCCCCTACCCTAGGGTGTGAATTGTTGTGGATATCGCCAACATAGGAATAATTATGATGCTAAAGGAAAATAAAGTGACTACTGCAGAGTTAGAACTTTAGTAACTATGTGAAGCTTTTAGTGGAGACCTGTATTTCGTTTCTAGCTCTACTACAGACGTTTTTGTGATAGTGTGTTTATAACTTACATAAAACCAGCTATTATAAATCCAAAGCAACGAGAGATGAAAACTTTAGAATGTTTGCTTTCGTTCTTTTGTTTATGATAAATGTTCTGTGTTCAAAGGTTAAAGCAGTAAAGTTGGGTCATGTTCTGGTAGTGGATGAGGCAGACAAAGCCCCAACAAATGTCACCTGTATTTTAAAAACTCTAGTAGAAAATGGAGAAATGATTCTAGCAGATGGAAGACGCATTGTTGCAAGTGAGTATGAAAAGGCAACTTTCATTTCAGTATATTCAATATTTACATTTCTGGTATCAAATCACACAATTAGCTGGTTAATTTATCTGCCAACAACAGGCATAAGTTCAGTATAAGTCACGTTGTCCATATTGATAGTTATTTATAAAAATCAATACGTCTGAATCTAGCTTTGTCAGCTTCACTTTCTAATAGCCAGAAAGCATCTCTGAAAATTTCAATAGTAGTTTTAGGACAAATCAGCTTCATATATTTTCTACACTGAAAATACAAACATACAATCCTTATTATACTCATCTCTCAATTATTTGTGTGCAATTTATTTTCTTCCATTGTTGTCTGAAATTTGTTATAGTCTTACTATATTTCTATTACTAATAATATTAAAAATTAATGTTATTATTAGCTCAGTGTAATTAGGAAAAAATGCTGAACATTTTATTTTACACATGTATTTATCATATATATGTATGAATATATGTGTGTCTAAATATATATTATACACACACCCTGCTTCAGGAAGAAGTTATCCTGTTTTGGGGTATCTTCTTCCTTTTATTTTATTTTTATATTGTTGTTGTTCTCTGGGAAAATGTAGGTGGATAAATCTCATAAATCTGTTTAACCTACAGAGAAAAATTGTCTAATGCAATGTGAGAACATTTTCTAGTTTCTAGTCTAAAAGTTCTGTGTCATGAAAAGACTTGAAAATCTATAACTAGCCATTGAAAATATACAGTCAGTTGCAGGGTAATCAAACAAGTTGAGACTAATAACCAAAATCTTCAGTATTCAAACAAAGCATATACAGAAGGCCCCCATTAAAAATGTACACGTGCATCATCACAGAGATTTCTTCTTGGATGTTGTCATTGCAAAATTGCCATTTCTAAGCCTAGGAAACTCAGCACTAGTAAAAGTATTGTAACATTTCAGTTTCACAATGAATTTATGGGGTAAAAATGAGAATGATATCCTTTAGAAAAATCATTCAGACTTTCAGGATTAGAATTCTGTCTGCCCTTTTAAGAGGCATTATGTGGACAGTAAATGGAAAGCAAGAAAGAATTCCTGAAACAAACTTGTAGTTAAACTGTGGCTATCTCCTGGTAACCCTCTACATGTGTTTATATATTTTTGAAGGATAGTCTAGAAGTAAAAGAGTCATCATAATTTTTAAATTCAAGTTTGATAATATTGTAGACAATATGTTAAACACAAGAACCTCTGAAGCTCTTTTGCATGTGGTTTCATAAAGCGTCCATTCTATGGCTATGATTTTCGTCTTCTTTGTTTTTTTCAATTTACATTTTTATTGTCATTTTAATTTTCGTTAACTGAGTAAATTTTGCATGTGACCACATACCTTTGTTATTTGCCACTACAAAAAGTAAAGGAGATCAAATGTTAAAATTAATGGTGGTATTAGTACATGAGTATATGGCACATTGAAAGGTTACTTTTTGATATCGTAAGAAAAGTACAAGTGTAAGTTCTTACAGACTCATCTCAAACAAAACTCCAGGTGCTTCACAACTATCATTTGTTAAAGATGGACAGCCTAAGGCTGATGTTTAAGTAAACCCAAATGCCAAATGTTTCTTCTTAAAATAACCATAATAAAGTTTTTACTGTCTTAAAGTGCTGTTTAGACAAGCGGTTCTATCTGAAATGTACGTCATCCAGTAGTGTGTAACATTCACTTCCTTAAAACCTTAAACGTTTGCATGAGGAAAGCTCCAGTCAACTTGAAATTACTTATTTTAAGAACTATGGTAGAATCACTTAAATGGAAATAAATCAACTTTCCTCTAATAAGTTGACTAGGTGTTCAAGACCTTTATTCTATGTGGTTGAGTTTCAAGGTGCATAATCTGAATGGAAGTTACTGCTTAGGTGCAGAATGGCAGGCTTTTATGCTGATTTGATAAAAAACGAAAGGATGTTTGGATTATTCTTTGAGGATCCTTTGGATTATCCCTTGTTATGGATTCTATTTTTTTTAAAGGGATAACAGCATCTCAAGCCAAGTTTAAGTACTGTAAAAGACACAGTTAGACAAGTTTGCTTTTTAGACGTGCATTTAATTTTAATAAAAATGCAGATTCCTGTATAATTTAGTATACACTTTATTAGTACTCTGTTCTTAAACAGACTTCCTTGAAAATGTTTTTGTTTTCTGCAAATTGTTCAACCAGATTTCTTAGAGTTTTTTTTACAATTAAACAGTATGACTACTTATGTGATTTTTAAAGGCTATAACTTTATATTCTTAAGAATTATTAAATATCAATAAAGAATACATAGAAATTTTGTTTTTCAGATTCTGCTAATGTCAATGGACGAGAAAATGTTGTTGTGATTCATCCTGATTTTAGGATGATTGTTCTGGCCAACAGACCTGGATTTCCTTTCCTAGGCAATGATTTCTTCGGTACCTTAGGTAAAAACATTAATGATCATCTTAGCAAAAACAATAGCAATAACAATAATAATATTATCTTAGAAACAATGCTGTCATGGCTGTCACTAACGCCACCAGGTGCTGTCATCATCACGACCACCACCTTGTGAGAGGGTTTGTTGTCCCCGTTTCAGAGAAGGAGAGTGTCTGGCATTCAGAGATACTGTTTTTCTAGGGTCACTCAGATAGTGATTGTTAGAGCTTGGCTTCTTCTCTAAGTCTGTCTGATTCCAGAGCCTGTTTTCTTAAACAACTTAACTGTATTTTGTTGTTTAGGGCCCCTTAGAATAAAACACAAAATAAGGAATGGTTTTTAGTGTTTTTGTCCCATCTCCCTCACTATGAAAAGGTTTGTGACCAGCTCTGAGGGAACTGGTTCACGTGGATTGGTGGAGCCCTGGGATAGACCGACTCATCAGGAGTCTTTAAGAAGAGCTTCTCTATGGCAAGGAGGTCATTTTGGATCCTGGTCATTCTCAGACTCAATGTGAAACAGGCTCAGTCTCCTAGGAGGATTTTCCCAGGGAATTCCCCATGCAATGATTTAGTACAAGGCTAGGCAATAGAGCATTGTTTATAGGAGAAAAAAAAATGGGTAACAACCCAAATGTCCATCCAAATGGGACTGAGTAAGGAAATTCTATTATGTCCACACAGTAGATTACTATGCAGCTGTTTAAAAAAAAACAAGTTTACCCATGCTGATACCAAAAAAAAACCCCAAAAAAACAACTAAGTGAAACAATAAGACAGAACAGTGTGTACCAGTGTGTCTACCAGTTGAAAAACAAAAGGCAGGAGGGATGTGTGTGCATGAATATTCTCAGACATGCACAGAATTTCTCCCGAGGTGCGCATGTCTCTTACGTCCTCTTATCTCTCTGCCCTTGCTTCCTGTTCTGCTCTGTGCTGCTCTCCCCATCACTCACCCTCCACTTGCCACTCTGCTCTCCCACCTCTTCCTTGAACACGCCAGGTACGCTTGCCTTAGGGTCTTTGTATAGCTGTCCCTGGAATGCTCATCCTGCAGATACCTGCGCTGTCACCTTCTCAGTGAGGCCCACCTGGCTGACCTCCCCCATCATCACCATTTCTGATGTCCTATTCTGTGCTTTTCTTTCTCTTTTCTCCTTGAAATGTACAGTTTCTAACATTTATAATTATTGTTTATTGTCTCCCTATACCAGAATATAAACTCTACGAGTGCGGAGATTTTTGTGTTTTTGATCACTGATAGATATAAAATCCCTAGGGTAACGCTTGGCACATGGAAGGCATTTAATAATTATTTGATGAATGAAATGAATATAGAGTCCATTATAGTTTTATATTAGTGTTACATTTGACTCTCAGCAAAAAAAGCAAAAGCTGTTTTTCACATTCATATTTGGACAGGTTTAGCTGATGAGATACAAGCTCCAAGTTATCATGGTTGCATTTTATTCAGTTGCTTTCATAAATATTATAATAATGATAAAATAATTGTTTGAATGATTTTGAAGTCAAAGTAAGTCTGGATGTCCTTTCTTTCTAAAATGAACATGTTCAATAATCCAAATCTATTTACTTTTAACTTCCTTTGGTCCCTTGTCTTTTGGATTATGAATCAGAACTGTGTGAACTTTTTTTTTTACTTTTTTTTCCCATTATGTTAGTACAGAGCTTTATTTGGCAGTGTACTTTACATGTGTAACTTCAGTCAATGATAGCAAAAATAGTACAAGACAGAAATTTCATTGCATTCTGGACAGTGTTAATGCTTTGTCCAAAAGTCTTCATCCAGGAAAAAATTTTTTTGTTTGATAGTGTAGTCTGTTTACAATGTTGTGTTAACTTCTGATGTACAACATAGTGTTTCAGTTTTATATATATATTTACATATATATTCCTTTTCATATTCTTTTTCATTATAGGTTATTACAAGACATTGAATATAGTCCCCTATGTTATCCAGTAGAACCTTGTTGTTTATCCATTTTATATATAGTAGTTAGTAGCTGCAAATCCCGAACTCCCAGTTTATCCCTCCACCAGCCTCCCTCCCTCATACCATAACCATAAGTTTGTTTTCTCTGTCTGTGAGTCTGTTTCTGTTTTGTAAATAAGTTCCTTTGTACCATTTTTTTTAGACTCCACATGTAAGTGATATCATATGATATTTTTCTATGTGAACTTTTATATGAGAAATGTATCTCTCCTGAGTATAAATTACATTTTTCTAGTAAATTCTCAGTTGTCTAAATTACAGATGAAATATTTTGTGTTTCTACATTCCTTTTTCTTGATTTTAATTTAGACATTGTCTCTGCAGGTTCACTTTTCCAAAACCAACTCTAAAGTAGACTCTAGCATCTGCATAAAATATAAATTGTTTAGAGAGTGATGATACTGATTTTTCCTTTTTTAATATAAAGCGGCATACATGTGAGATAGATGTATATAATTTCTGAAGATACTCAACATGTGTTAAAGTTAAAAATGCAGCCTCAGAACCATATGAAAAGTATTTTCCAATTAATGGGAAAGAAGTAAGTTATCAAAACTGTATATGTTCATATATATATGCATTAAAAATATTAATACAGGTCTGGAAAAATAAATACATTGGACTGTTAACACTGGGTGCCTATGAGGGAGAGGGTAGGACTGGCAGAGACACCGAGGGGCTTCTCTTTTTTTCTTTTTCTATTTGGGTATCTCCCAGTGAAATTGTGTTCAAAAAATATAATTTTTAACAGAAATAAGTCTGTGCAGAATGAACCACACATCACTCAGTTTCCTCTTCTTTTGCTTTAGTCGTTTGCTTTTTTTCTCTCTACCTATTGTTGGGTGGGTTTTCTGTGCAGTTTTACACATTTAAAAATAGGAGTGCTTTGGTGAACCACCCGTGGCTCCTGTAACAATCATTCTGTATTTCCTATGGCATCATAATGGATTCATTGCCTGCTGAATGTGGATCTTTTTTCTCTTGTAGGTGATATTTTTAGCTGCCATGCAGTTGATAATCCCAAACCCCACTCGGAGCTCGAGATGCTCAGGCAGTATGGCCCGAATGTGCCCGAGCCCACCCTTCAAAAACTCGTGGCTGCCTTTGGAGAGCTGAGGAATTTAGCCGACCAGGGGATTATTAACTATCCTTATTCCACGAGAGAAGTTGTCAACATAGTCAAGCATTTACAGGTATGGCACACGCCAGGGTGTTAAAGTTTAAAAGAAGCCGTCAATCTGAGCCTTTTTTAGACTGCCTAATTTATCCAAGTCTTTCCATTTCCATAAATATAATACTGATTCAAATGATATTATATGAAGTGTCTGTAATCTAAATGAACATTTTCCATTTAGCCTTTGGATTCACTTTGGCAAGATTCTGTGCCATTATTACCAAGGAGCTAGGAAATTTGGTAGAGGCTTTTGTTTTTGTTTTTGTTTTTGTTTTTGTTTTGTTTTGTTTTGTTTTTTGTGGAGGAAGCAGGATGCAGAGAAAGACAGAAGAATCAGACAGCAGGGCAACTTGACTACTGTCTGACTTTATACAACAGGCGTGTGGTATCTGAGTGGAGAATATTTTCATTTTGAAAACAAAAGACTCAGTGATTAAAAAAAAACAAGACTAGGAACTAGCAGTAATG